ATGCGGGCCTCTCACTGTTGTGGCCCCTCCCGCTGCGGAGCACAGGCTCCGGACGCGCAGGCTCAGCGGCCATGGCCCACGGGCCCAGCCACTCCACGGCATGTGGGATCCTCCCGGACCGGGGCACGAACCCGTGTCCCCTGCATCGGCAGGCGGACTCTGAACCACTGCGCCACCAGGGAAGCCCGAGAACGAGTAATTTCTTTTTCTTTTTTTCCTTATTTATGTTAAGCTGTCTACATTCCTTTTATTTACTTTTTCAGCTTTATTGAGATATAATTGACATATGGCCTTGTATAAAGTGTACAACGCATTGATTTGATACAATTATATATTGCAAAATGGTTACCACCATAGTGTTAGCTAACACCTCCATCACATTACATAATTACTATTTATTTTCTGTGATGAGAACATTTAACATTTATTCTCTTAGCAACTTTCACGTATATAATACAGTATTGTTATCTATAATCACCATGCTGTTCATTAGATCCCCAGAACTTATTCATCTTATAACAGGGAGTTTGTACCCTTTGACCAACATCTCCCCATTTGTATTCATGAATAGCTGTTTTGTTTTGTTTTGTTTTTTCATGAATAGCTATTTAATTGTTTTTTTAATATAAATTTATTTATTTTATTTTTGGCTGCGTTGGGTCTTCGTTGCTACATGCAGGCTTTTCTCTGGTTGTGGTGAGCAGGGGCTACTCTTCGTTGTGGTGTGCAGGCTTCTCATTGTGGTGGCTTCTCAGGAGCACAGGCTCTAGGCACGCGGGCTTCAGTAGTTGTTGGACATGGGCACAGTAGTTGTGGCTCGTGGGCTCTTGAGTGCAGGGTCAGTAGTTGTGGCATACGGGCTTAGTTGTTCCGTGGCATGTGGTATCTTCCTGGATGAGGGCTCGAACCCGTGTCTCCTGCATCGGCAGGTGGATTCTTAACCACTGCGCCACCAGGGATGCCCCATGGATAGCTATTTAATTGTTGATCTTTGTTGGAGGACTGGAGGCTGGGGTCTCCTGTGCCACCATTTTGGTGACATTATTGGTTCAGATCTTAGTAGGGATTGGCAGAATTTTCCTGGGGAAATGAGGAAGTAAACCAAATGAGAACAAAGGAACAGTGAAAAGGGATCTAAACTTTTGCAATAATTTAAAATTTCACCAGCTTCTGCACCACCCATCACAACGTGGAGGATCTGGTGAAGACACATACACAACCATATTTCTTACTCAGATGAAGCACACCTTTTATCAGTGAAATGAAAGTAAAGTGCCAAGCCAGGTCAGAACCACGAGTCAGATACATGTTCCCTAATTACACAATGAGGAAAAGTGAAAGTGCAAAGAGTCGATTAGGCAATTAGCACAGAGCAGAGGAAGACTTTATTGCTGAATTAGGTACTCTGTGGTTCAGGTGGATCTTTAAATCTCTGGTACTATATTTGGATAAAGTTATACTCTGGATTTCAAGTTATATCAGCTCAACCTATACTCAGATGACACTGCAACGTAAACATACTTTTGTGAAATGAAATGGGTGAATACAATGTGTATGAGTGTTTGTAAAGAATAAAGGGCTGGGGAATTCCCTGGCGGTCTAGTGGTTAGGACTCTGCTCTTCCGCTGCAGGGGGCATGGGTGTTGGGGAACTAAAATCCTGCATGCTGCACGGTGCGGCCACAAAAAAAGAAACAGTAAAAAAAATTTTAAAGGGCTGCATTATTGTTAAAAATAATAATAATGATGAGGATATTAGTTAACTATCTCCCTTTTTTTCTTTCAGCTGTGGGCTACACATCATGACCCACAGATGGTCCGCCCAACTCTGGAGAGGACGCTCAAGGACCTCCAGCTAGATTATGTGGATCTTTACATCATTGAAATACCTATGGCTTTTAAGGTAAGTTCATATGCCTAAAGGTAAGGCCTCTGCTCTTTGGCAACCATGGGCCAACATGTACGTACAGGAAGCTCATTCATTACTTAGCACCATAGAATATTATGATGTTTTGTTACCGAAAATCAGATAGTACTGACCTAACCCAACAAATGCCAAGAAAGATTATGTGTAGCCAACTCAGGCCTGGATCCCAAGTTTCTAGATTCATAATGCAATGCACTGTCTGTTATATTATGTCTTTGCAGCTATAAACGCTCTCCATCAAACCAACAAGTAGTCTCCTAACTGTAGTCCACATTGCAGTTGTCCAGCATCCAGACACACCCTTCTTCCCATTCACACAGTCACGAAAACATCCCTGCACAACATAATGTAAAATAATAAATACAACTGAAAACCTACTCACACTCCACCCTCTCCAAAGGAAAATAACCCAAAGAGTAGTCAGATTTTTGAAGCCAGCTCCAAGATCAGGACTTCTAGGTGATATCTATCCCTCTAATTCAAATGCACTCCTTCCTTGAACTTTCTCAATATATGGACTCAGTTTAACCACCACCAACACACCCAGTATACACTGCTGAAGAGCAGCAGCTGCTTTAAAGTTTCTCTGAGGGAAAGTGAGATTAAAAAACAAAACTGACCACTTGTCCATGAGGTAAACCAGATCCTGCTGGACAGGAAAGACAAGGACTCTCTGCGCAGAGTTCTAAGCTGAGTCTTACAGATTTGGAAAGAACCTGTATTTAAAAGTGAGAAAATGAAATTTACTTCTCTGTGGCTGACTAATGACTTGTAAAATCTTTTTGGAGAAGGTAAATAAAGAAATTCTATTTCTATTCTTAAATAGGATCAAGGCTCAAGGACACAGAGAAGGTAAATTTTTAACAGTGGGAAATTACACAGTATAGTGACATTACCTCCCAACTGAACCTGTACTTCCTGTAATTGAGAAATCAGTCTTTGAAGCCAAAATATCACTTGCTTTTTGAATCTCATGATTCTTTTTAAAGAAAAACCTTTCTCGCTAAAATATTTTACCACTTTGTTATTTTTTAAATGTAAAGTTAATAAGCAGACACAATTTCAGAACAACAAAAAGTACAAAAAATCATGATGAGACATTTTAAAAAGACGAAGTTATTGCTAAACAGGAATGAAGGTCAATAGCATGGATTTTTAGAGGGTTGAGTTATTCTTCTAATAATGCCTTACAGTCAGGAGCAGGAAAGGAGTAAAAAGACAATGAGCTTATCCGAATGAAGGGATTAGTAAAGTAAGCACAGTGGAACATCATAGAAATATCTAACATGGGTTTAGACTTGGAGAGGACTAAAATTTGGGACAGTAAAAACTATTAATAGTAAGAGTTCATAATGGAGATATAAAGCCATTTCAGGTCAGAAGTAAAATCAGGAAATGCAAAAAGCAAGAAATATGGAGGGAGTATGGAGTGGAAACAAGCCTCATAAGTGTTGAGAAGGTCAAAGGGCTTAGAAATCAGAGATAACCAGGGTAGTTAATGTGAATGATTACATGGCTTTGAGGAGAAAGGAGTCCTTTTCCTGGTCTCAGTGAAATAGAAGAAAATTGAGGTGAAATTATCTTTGCTAAAGAGGGCATGGAGAAATTGTTATCACCAGGTGAAAGTTTAATTCAGGTGAGATGGCAGAGCGAAAAATTAGGGAAAAATTTTAAGAATATAATGGATTTTATCCAATTGCTTGATTTTCAACAACAAAAAATTCCTATTATCAAGGTCTACAAAGACTTCTATGCCACCAACCAAATCCAGTAGACATTGTGTCCTCATATTCTATTTGATCTCTTTCAGCACAGTTGACCACTGCCTCCTTCTTTAAACATTTTCATCTCATGGCTTCTATGATATCACCCTCTGGTGATTCTTTGACAGCTTCTTCTCTACTAAACTCCAAATGTTTTGCCCAGTGCTTTATCCTCAATATTCTTGTCTTACTGAGCCATACTCTCTCTATAGGTGATTTCATCCAGTTGCATGGATTGAATACCATTTTATATGCTGAGGACTCCCAAATTTTATCTGTACCCATGACCTCTCTCTGAGACTTCTCTGTTCTCTTCAAATATCCACTTGACTGTCCAACAGTCATTTCAAACTTAAACTATCCAAAACAAAACTCTGAATTCCTTGTCCAACCTCAGGAAATGATTACCACCATCCACTCAAAGAATCTAGAAATTATCTTTTATTTCTATCCCATTTCCAAGCCCATAAGAGATGGGTCCCATTTTTAAATATAGCAAAAGAGGAGAAATCTGAAAGACAATTTCCACACCATAGTCAATCTTCATTGGCAAAGTATCATCCAAAAGTTAGAGGAGGAGGTTTGACACTTACATAGTGTATGAGTTAGAAAAAAAGATGCTGAACTCCTGGAGGGCCCAAAAAGGGAAAGAAAAGAACCATGGGGTGATTAGCCAGACCTGAGAAGTAATGTGCTATGCATTTCCCTTATACTTAAGGAACATTGCATTCATCAACTATACTTAGCTGAAGAATTTCCTCCTCTCAGCCTTAGTGATGACATCTGGTTTCTTATAGGAGTAATAAATTTGCTGTCCTCAACTTTGGCCAGGATAGACTATCCAAACACTGAGTCTAAAAGTCCTAATTCTCAACTTTTACTTTTCTTTAATGAGAAATTTTATCATTAAAAGAGAACTTCATGGCTTAAGAACAACAATAATCTGTCAATAAATAAAGAATAATGAATGCTGGGGTGAGAGAATGAGACTAATGTGTCATATATGTTGGACAAATGAATTTCTGGACAGTTCCACAGGGGGAGGGGAAAAATATATATATCTTGAATTGGTTTCCCAGGGCCCAGGTATATTGGAATACTGACAACTTAAATTCCATCATTTCAATCCCTAGATATAAATAAAGTTAACTATACTTTTTCTTTTTCTTTTTTAACAGCCTGGAGATGAATTCTATCCTAAAGATGAAAATGGCAAATGGTTATATCACAAGTCAAATCTGTGTGCCACTTGGGAGGTGAGTTCAAGTGGGCCTCTTATGTTAAAAGAGTAAATTTTTAAATTGTGATCTGATTATTTCTATTCGATTTATGGAGAGTTGCAACCTTTACTCCCAATGAAAAGTAGTAGTCAGGTATTTCTAACCACGAGCAAAGATGTATAAAATCTCCACTTCTGGGTGCTGAAAAATGTTCGATTTTGCTTTGATGGAAGAAAAGAATGCCAAAGATAAGGAAGAGAGAAGTGTGGGAGGAAAAAGAAAGTAAAGGAAATAAGTTCTACTGTAACAGTAAATAAAAATATATAAATGAGATAAACTCACAAATTTTTGGTTTCTCAAATTGAATTTTTAAAAATCAGTAATATGATGTCTAAAAGAAACAAATGTAAAATAATATATGAAAAACTGAAAAATAATTCTGGTTCCAGTTCTGAGCAGGCTGCTGGCTCTTTCCCCAAGATTATAAGAGTGAGAAACTAGGGGAAAATAATGAGAAAAACCCTTATTGATTTAGGTGGGAGGCAGGTACAGATATTTTGAACTGGTTTGTTTATGAGGTAATACGGAAGCTTTTACCTAGAGTGAAAGGCAACTCAGCAACCAGTAAGATAATATAGAAGAGGAACTATCGGAGTTATTTTTGCTTTTATTTCTCTCTTGCTATAGCCTTGGGACACAGTCCACACATGTAGACACTTAGGACTTGTGTTCAGATGTCTTCAGGAATCAAGTCAGAGCAGCACTGAAATCTTGCACTTGTGAGAAGCTGATAAAAACATAAGTCTCTGCCTGACCTCTGGCAGTTGTTTCCTGCCTCTCCCAATTCAAACTCCAAATGCTGGAAATGATACTCTAATGATCATCTCATTCTAATAGACTTACCCCTGTTTAGGTTACAGCTGAGGATCTGAACTGTGGCTTGTTTTGAGGGGTGAGGAGGCACTGACTGTGTTTTCTACTGTCTGGGGCTCTCCACCCAAAAGACCATACACTCACTCCTGACCTCATTGGAGCTGACTAGGATTGGAGTCTGGCATTCTCCTCTAAGGGACTGCCTCACAGTGTACCTAATATCCTCAGGAGAAAATGAGCTCAGAGCCCAAAATAACAAGGCATTTATTTCACAAGGAAACAACATATCTCAATTACATATCGCAACAAAAACAGGACAGAGGACCAAGAACTTTTTAATTAGCCAATTAATATATTCAAGGAGATAAAAGAAAGATATCAGCAATATGAAATAAGAACAAGAAAACATTTTTTTAAAACAAGCAAAAATAATAATTACGAAAAATAAAAACACAGTGCAGTAGATGGGATAAAAATAGAATGGGTACAGATAAGGAAAAGATGATCAGCTTAAAAGATCAGAATAAGGAAATCTCCCAATTGAAGAAGGAAAGGACAAGAAAAAATTTTAAATGTGAAATATGAAAAGCTAAGAGATGTAAATCATAAAATTAGAATTTCCAGTATCCACACAATAGAAGTCTTAGAAAAAAAGAAAGAAAAGGAAGTAGTAATTGAAGAAAAAACCCAGAGATATTGAAAAGGCATGAATTACCAAAGAGGAAAGAGAAAGAAACCCATACCTGGATGCTTTATAGTGAAATTTCAGGATGTCAAACATAAAGAGAAAATGTTAAAATTTCTGGAGTATAGCAAACAAGCCAGTAAAGGAGACAAAATGAAATAATAAAAAATAATCAGTCTAAGAGAAGGCAGGAAAATAAGAAAAAAGGGGAAATGAATAGATGGGAAAAACAGAAAATAAATAGCAATATGGGGGATTTAAATTCAGTGGTGTCAATAATCACAGTGTATGTAAAGAGCCTAAACAACCCAGTTAAAATGCAGAGGTTTTCAGAATGGATAAAAAGCAAAACGCCACTATATATTATATACAAGAAACTCATTTTAAATAATAAGACACACAACTAAGCCCATGCGCCACAACTACTGAGCCTGCGCTCTAGAGAGCACATGCCACAACTACTGAGCCTGCGTGCTGCAACTACTGAAACCCTCATACTTAGAGCCCGTGCTCAGCAACAAGAGAAAGCCACCGCAATGAGAAGCCTGCACACCACAACGAAGAGTAGCCCCTGCTCACCACAACTAAAGAAAGCCTGCACACAGCAACAAAGACCCAACGCAGCCAAAAATTTTTAAAATAATAAATAAATAATAAGACACAAATAGGTTGAAAGTAAAAGGTTAAAAAAAAAGTAAAAGTCTAGAATAAGATGTACTAGGCTGACAGTAATCAAAAGAGAGCTGGAGTAACCATTTTAATATCAACAAAAATTTCAGGGCTTCCCTGGTGGCGCAGTGCTTGAGAGTCCGCCTGCCGATGCAGGAGACGCGGGTTCGTGCCCCGTTTCGGGAAGATCCCACATGCCGCGGAGCGGCTGGGCCCGTGAGCCATGGCCACTGAGCCTGCGCGTCCGGAGCCTGTGCTCCGCAGATGGGAGAGGCCACGACAGTGAGAGGCCCGCATAACACAAGAAAAAAAAAAAAAAAAGAAAAAAAAAAAAATTTCAGAGCAAAGAGTGTTACCAGGGATAAGGAATTTTGTTTTATAATAATAAAGGGTTCAATCCTAAACATCTATGCACCTAAAAACAGAACTCCAAAATACATGAAGCAAAACTAAGAGAACTGAAAAGAGAAAAAGAATAATCTAGTCAGAGATTTCAAAACCTCTCTCTCGATAATTGAGATAATAAGTAGACAGAAAGTCTATAGAATATAGGAGACTTAAACATTATCAAACAACTTGACCTAATTGACATTTATAGAATACTTTTCCAAAATATAACAGAATGCTATTTTTCAAGTGCACATGGAATACGTCACAAAATCATTTTCTGAGACATAAAACGGATCTCAATACATTTTGAAATATTCTTAGGGCTTCCCTGGTGGCGCAGTGGTTGAGAGTCTGCCTGCCTATGCAGGGGACATGGGTTCGTGCCCCGGTCCGGGAAGATCCCACATGCTCCAGAGCAGCTGGGCCCGTGGGCCATGGCCGCTGAGCCTGCACATCCGGAGCCTGTGCTCCGCAGTGGGAGAGGCCACAGCAGTGAGAGGCCCGTGTACCGCAAAAAAAAAAAAAAAAAAGATATTCTTCATGCAAAGTAGGCTGTCTGATGACATTGGAATTAAATTTGAGTCAATAAAAAAAATATATCTGAAAAAAATATATATATATCTAAAAAATCATCATATATTTGGAAACTAAGAAGATACGTGTAAATAACCCATAAGATAAAGAAAAAATAACAAAATCTGAATCTATATGTATTCTATATGCTAGCAACACACAATTGGAAATGGAATTTTTTAAAAACAATGTTAAATATTTAGAGATAAATTTAACAAAATCTATGCAAGACATATAGTTAAAACTACAATATTTTACTGAGAGGATTTTTTGTTAATTTGAACAAATAGAGAGCTGTATCATGTTCTTTGATGGAAAGATTGAATACAGATAAGTTGTTAATTCTCCCCTAATTCATGGATAGATTCAGTGCAATCCCAATGACTATCCCAAAGGAAATTGAAAAGCTGATTCTAAAATGTACAGGGAAGTGAAAAAACCATAATAATAAAGATTTAATTTACTAAGAAGATTTTTTTTTTTTTTTTTTGCGGTACGCGGGCCTCTCACTGCTGTGGCCTCTCCCGTCGCGGAGCACAGGCCCCAGACGCGCAGGCTCAGCGGCCATGGCTCACGGGCCCAGCCGCTCCGTGGCATGTGGGATCCTCCCGTACCGGGGCACGAACCCGTATCCCCTGCATCGGCAGGCGGACTCTCAACCACTGCACCACCAGGGAAGCCCCAGATATGTCAATCTTAAACACATATGTACCAAATAAAATATCTTCAGAATATATAAAGCAAAAATTGATAGAATACAGAAAGACACTGGTAAATCCACTGTTACGGTGGGAGATTTCCGATATATTTCTCTAAATTATTGAAAAGCCAGGAAAAGCTAGACCTAATCTTCTATATAATGCGTGTGTATGTGAGAGAGAGAAACAAGAAGGATCTGTGTCCAAAAATAGGAGAATATACATTTTCCACACATTCCAGACACATAAAAATTTTCAGGTACTGTACCATAAAGAAAACTTCAACAAATTTTAAGAAATAAGATCATTATTATCACGCTGGTATACATTATGAAAATACAAGGGGAAGATATGATATACAACATTTCCCCAAAATCATTCAGTTACAGAATTCCTGCCTATATCCTCCATTTATTTTAGTTCACAGAATGCCTATTAATATACCCAGGGACTTTACTTTTTAAAGAATTCACAGTCACCTTTATAAATATTTATTCTTGCTTGTGTTGAGGTTTCTTTCTTGACCCATTGGCTTTTACCCTACAGGCTTTAGAAGCTTGCAAAGATGCTGGCTTGGTGAAATCCCTTGGTGTATCCAATTTTAACCGTAGGCAGCTGGAGCTTATTCTGAACAAACCAGGACTTAAGCATAAGCCAGTCAGCAACCAGGTACAGCTTGACAAGGGGAGGGAGGTGAGGGGGAGTGTGGGGATTGGGGAATGTGGGAGAATCCATTACTTAACAGAAAGAATCCTGGACTAGGAGTCAGGAAGTCTTGTGGTCACTTTACATATATCTCATCATTAGACCATGGGCAAGTCAATTTATGTCTCTTAAGAAAAAAGATTTGAAAGTTCAAATCCAAAAAGTAACCCAAACTTTTTCTGAAGAAAAATAATAATGTAGGGGAACAAAACCTACCAGACATTGACACACAGAGTATTTAAAATAATGTAAGATTAGCACAAGAACCAACTTACAAATAAATAGAAAATAAGAAATACCTTAGAAACAGTCTCAAATAAAATAAAAAATGTAAAATAAAATAGCACAAACTAATGACAAAGGAATTGATTTTTCAGTAAATAGTGTGGGGAAAATTGATAGTTATATAGTAACAAATATAGATCTTTGCCTCATGTTATACTCAAAAGTGTCCCTTTGATCAGGAGTTAAAGAAGAAACAAATTATTTGTGAATACTACAAAAGAATTTTAGTTTTCTGGAGCTATGGATAGAAAGGGAAGCCATGGGAAAATTATAAAGAAAACCAATACATGTAATAGTATAAAAATGTTAAACACGGGCTTCCCTGGTGGCGCAGTGGTTGAGAGTCCATCTGCCGATGCGGGGGACACGGGTTCGTGCCCCGATCTGGGAAGATCCCACATGCCGTTGAGTGGCTGGGCCCGTGAGCCATGGCCGCTGAGCCTGCGCGTCCGGAGCCTGCGCTCTGCAACGGGAGAGGCCACAACAGTGAGAGGCCCGCATACCGCAAAAAAAAAAAAAATGTTAAACACTAAAAATATTAGAAACAAAGAGCAAACAAAATTAGATGATTATATCTAAAAATATAACAGAAAAAGGGGATCATGTCCTTACGAATTAAAAGCCTAATAAAAATCAATGAGAAAAATACTAAGGCTCAAAAGAAATGAACAGAAAGTCACAGAGAAGACAGATTGCAAGACTGATAAACATATGAAAAATATTTAGCTGCTCTAGTAATTATGGAAATTTAAATTTAAGTGTAATTTTGTATTGTGTATCAAATTAGCAAAGTTTCTCTTTTATTTTTTAATATAGTGTTCCATGTAAGCAAGTGATGGAGTGCTGGCAAATGCAAATTGGTTCAACCTTCCTGAAAATCAATTTTGCAATAAGTAGCAAGAGCCTTAAAAAGTGTTTAGTTTTCGATTTCTAGGAATCCATCCTTGTGAAAAAAAATCAGAACACCCATATGTGTGTTTGTCACAGCACTTTATGTGTGTGTTTGTCACAGCACTGTTTATCATGGCAAAAAAAAAAAAAAAAAACACCAAAAAGGAAACAACATAAATATGAAAAATTCAGGGAATGCTTACATAAACTTTAGAACATTTATAATATGTGAAATATTAACAAAAAATGTTCTTGAATCACTCTTGAGGAAAAGAGAAATGGCCACGATATTAAGTGGAAAGACCAGGATACAAAACGTAATACAGTATGAAGGTGATTATATTATTTAAAAAGTGCAAATATTGGAAAGAAATATATCAAAATGCTAACCGTGGCTATCTCTGGCTGTGAATTTTACAAGTAAATTCTGTTTTCTTCTTTATGCTTTTCTGTATTTCAAGTCTTCTGCAGTGAGCATATGTTACTCTTATAATCACAACAAAATACTATTGTTAAATGGGGATATGCCATCCTCTTCCCCCTGCTTCATAAAACATTAAGAAGCTGCACTAAAAAATGCTCTTGGAGGGGCTTCCCTGGTGGCGCAGTGGTTGAGAGTCCACCTGCCGATGCAGGGGACATGGGTTCGTGCCCCGGTCCGGGAAGATCCCACATGCTGCAGAGCGGCTGGGCCCATGAGCCATGGCCGCTGAGCCTGCGTGTCCGGAGCCTGTGCTCCGTTACAGGAGAGGCCACAACAGTGAGAGGCCCACATACCGCAAAAAAAAAAAAAAAAAAAAAAAAAAAAAAATGCTCTTGGAACTGGTAAATATTCACAAACTTGGATTATGGTGGACTTGTTTGTTGAATTCATTGTTATTAGAAACTCAGAAGGATTCATAACAGAAAAAATGAATTACCTACATCATGACAGTAGCCCACAACTAAATAGTAGTGTTGCCATATTTAGAAGTACCACTTCCGAGCTGATACCTCAGCTAGCGTTATATCATATGTTCTCAGGAACAGAGAGCAACAACCTTTGCCTTCCTCATTGATCTCAATCCATCCCTTTATTCGTAACCAATCCCCTACCCAGCGTATCCTTCACATCTCCTTCCTGCACCCCTAAGAACAATATTTTGTTCTAAAAATGTTGAAGTGACAAGCAGCTTTCTTCTTACAAATGCACAGAGACAGATGGTGATTTTCGACCTGAGAATGAAAAATAGTGAAAATTTGACAGTGTGTTTCCTCATGCCAAGGAGGAAATACCCTGATCTATTGGCACAAGAATGTCGATCAGCTTCACAAATATACCCTGAAAGAGAATCAAGGCTTGTTGGAAGATCATAACCTGAACCTGTTCATGTGTCCTGTCGTGTCTGAAAGCAGAATATGTCAAAACTCTAGAGCTGGCACAGATCAAAGTGCAGGTCTCCCAGCCACCAGCCATGACCCTATGCCCTGGTAGGACCATCTCTACTCCAGAGATACAAAATGAGCAGCTTTCAATCCAGGAATACGGTGAGCATATTTTGGGCATTAGACAGAGTGGACACATTTCATGTGCAAGGGATACATACCTGAAGGCTTGCCTGATTCAAAATTCACATATTTCAAAACTAATTTTCCCATTAGACTAAATCTAAGTAAAATTTGCAAAATTTTGTATTTTTCATTGACTTCATGAACAAATTGACATAGAATATAACCTCACTCTATACTCGTTCTCAGAACTTGAGCAATCCAAGATTCCTTAGTACTCCCTATGATGTCCATCTGAAGCAATGTCCCTCCAGGCTCCACCCCTGGCTTAGACTGTCTGAAAGCCTTCCTAGCGTCATACAGTGCTCTCCCAGCCCAGTTCAAAGGGGACTGTGGATCTATCTCAAGCCATTTAATCTCATACAAAGTTCCAACACCTAACTCTAGGAACGAAAGAAAGAAGGGAGGTAAGGAGGGACGAAGGGAAGGAGTAAGGAAACTTTCCACATTCTTCAGTTTTTCCTGATCCTATTCACCATGCCTAACTCACAGGTGTCCTGACACAGAAATTAGTAAATATTTGTTGAGTGACTTCATTAATGAAATGAAAATTCAATGCAGTTTTTCATGGAAAGACAGAAGAGGTTGGGTTAATTAATGAAAGGACTTTTGCTATTTTCCTTCATGGATTCTGTCCAGCTTCTTAACTTCACCCTGTGAGATTTTGATATCTAAAACTACAGTATTACCAAAGGGTGTTGTAAAACCCCGGACACACCAAGATGCTGACAACTTACATCAGTTTTACATAGCAAACAAGGAAAAGTAAATACTGCAGCTCCACTGGCTCATTCACAAAGGGCTCTAAGCAGTCCCTAGTAAAGAAGGAAGGCAAGTGCGCTTAGGTATCCTTCTCCTTAGAAATAAGGATGACATTAAGGCCTGCAACATCAGGAACCATCACCACCCTCTACCTTAAACTGAGCATCCGGTCCCAGCCAGAAATGACCAGCTGTACCCCATATGAAGCCCAGCCTACAACAGTCTGCAGCATCAAGATTGATGTTTCCTAAGATTCTGGCTTTGTCCTCGCTGTATAACTCTTGTTTTCACTCATTCAACACATGGTCATCAAGCATCTGCCTTATGCCAGGCACTGTGCTAGGTTCTAGGCATGCAAAAGTGACCAAAGACAGATATAGTCCTTGCTCTCGTGGATCATACATTAATGAAGTCAGGAAAGTTATACGTAATTGGAAACTGAGACAGATGCTCTGAAGAGAAGGAATGTGACTCTCTGAGGTCATACGCACTTGGGTCATGTTAGCCTACCCACTCCCACCCCCACCCTCACCTCCATCCCTAGAATTTCCTTCACTGAGTGGTCCTTTAGCCATATGCCCTCAAGTTTTTTATCAAAAAAGTATCTATGCAAAGATCTTTGTTATATTACATATTATATTATATATTTGAGTTTATATTACATTAACTCAAATTTTTGTTGAGTACGGGTTTCTAGTATGTTGCCCAATGCAACTTTCTGAATTTGTTCACAGAATGGATATTCACATACCTGTTTGTTTTATTTTTTAATTGTATTAGCCTTATTATGTATACATTTTGTGTTTTTTTAATATATATATACACACACACAAATACACACACATATATATGTATATAGGTAAATACACATGCTATATACACATGTGCATATACATATTTAGGCCAGAGACCGTAACAGCACTCCAACTTATTAGAAAGGAGTCCCTGTGGGGAAAATTAAATGTGTTTGGCGCAAGCAGGCAGGCATGAAAGTAAGGAATTCACACTTAGTCTTTAAGCGATGACGTGACATGATTAAAAAAAAAAATTTGTTTGAAAAGATTAGTGTACCAATAAGATAGAAAATGAGAAAGAGACCAAAGGGGGAGAGTGATGCTAGGAGTGGGAGAGGGTAAGGGAAAGAAATACAGTCCACCCTCCATATCCATGGATGCAGAACCTGCAACTATAGAGGGCCCACTGTACTACACCATTTCATAGAATGGACTTGAGCAACTGCGGATTTTGGTGTTTGCTGGGGTGGGGGTGTGTGTCCTGGAACCAATCCTACGTGAATACCTAGGGACTACTGTACTATGGACACTGTGTGTCACTGTTTAGAATTAAGAAATGTTCCCAAGTGGGGGAGAAAACAAAAGTGTCTTAGGGAAAAGGAGGGATCAAGATTATGAGGGGGCAGGGGAAAAGAAGAAATGGGAGAAACTGACAAGGGGGAGAAAGAAAGTTTATCAAATTAGAAAAAGGAAAGAAGACTCACCTCTAAGAGCTCCAGTTTACCTTTCCACTTCATCAATAGCATTTTCTTGTGCCTTCTAGAAATGTAACTTGTCGAGTATTTAATACTTTAGATAGTGAAAATAATAATTATATACTTAAAATATTTTAATTAAGACTTGGTTGATTTTAATTAAAAAGAAAGCAAACACATAGGTCAAAAACTACCATAGTGTTTAAGAAGAAACTTTGAGAAGAACTTTTGTTGACACATGTGGTTTTAGTGCAGGAATTCTGTCAATAAGATACAGAAAATGAAACTAGGCCTACACTTGGTGTAAAGAACTCTCCACCAAGAAGACAAAATTCATCTGTAAATTTAGTTTTATACACACTCTATCTCTTGTGAAAATATTCTTAGATGTTTGATAGTGAGGGACAGAGGGCTTCTGCAACATGTCACTTCTATTTACCAAGACTGTAATGTGAACCTTGAGACTGTGTGTTCGTTATGGAAAATTGTATTTGCTAGAATATTTACTATAAATAATTGAATCTGTTCACTTAAAATTTTAAACTGATAGCTGTAAAAAATCAATTATTTTAGGATTAACCCACAGATGGTGACCTCACTAACCTTGTTTTAATTCATCTCACCGATATATAAACAATGTAAACTTCCTTGTTGGGAAAAATATTTAAGATTTGCCTTGCTATCCAGAATACTTTTCAATCGATTTTATTGAAGAACTTTTTACAAACTATATAAAATTGCATTCATCCAAAAGCCCTTAATTTTGTGCTCTGCTCTCCAATGCAACCACATAGGTTGAATGCCATCCATATTTCACCCAGCCAAAACTCTTGAAATTTTGCCAACAACATGACATTGTCATTATTGCATACAGCCCTTTGGGGACCTCTAGGAATCCATCCTGGTAAGTAATGCTGTCTGTCTCCTCAGGTAGTATATTTCCTTGGTGTAGAGTATGAGGCTAATGTAAATTACTTGACTGAAATGACTCTATTCAGCTGTGTGATCTTAAGGAAGTAATTTCTTCAAGTCATTCTCCACATATGCAAATTAGAGCTAACAAAACCTTCCTCACTGAGGTGTTGTAATAATTGATTAGACTCTACCTGTGGAAGTGCCTACCAGTACCTTATTATTTGACAAAGAGTCTCTATGGCCATATTCCAAAATTTTTGAATTTTTAAATCTCTGTATTCAGTGGCAACACTTCTACTGTGATGCATTCCACAGACTTAAGTAGAAATTTTTCTACTCTAAGATGATTCCAAGAGTTGTGCCTTTGTTTCTTCTACTTCAGTCTTCTTGCCTTCCCCTGTATGCCTACTTCCAACCCCATTCTCTCTATAAGATCCATCAAAGCAATATTATTTACCGTCTGGAAGAGGCAGCTCTGTGAATCTGCCTGTCTTGATCTTCCCACACTAAGAGCAAGTCTTCTGAATACTCTGCACTCAGAGAAGTTGGTTACAGGTGACCTGAAGTGTTCTGGATAGGTTACCAGGTGAATGGGGGTCAGAGGAGGAGGGTAATTGGTCAACCACTGGTTCTCATTACTCAGACTAAATATGATGCGTGTTTCAATTTTTTTTTTTAAAGGGTGAATGTGTCTTCCCCACCTTTGTTAAAGGATGCACTTCTAAACTCACTGGGGAAAAAATACAATAAGACAGCAGCTCAAGTTGTTTTGCGTTTCAACATCCAGCGAGGAGTGGTTGTCATTCCTAAAAGCTTTAACCCTGAAAGGATCAAAGAAAACTTTCAAGTAAGAGAACTGCTTCTGGAAATGTAAAAAGTAGGGTATTTTTTCTTTTTTAGAGAATTTTGTGTTCAGATTAATAAGAAAGTTGCAGTGCCTTCGTATGTTATTTTTTACCTGCTCCCCGACCCCCTCCGCCCATACCTGGATTTAATTTTAGCTGAATTTGAGACAATTCCTAGTAATTCAGGGATTTCTTTGCTGCTTGTAGGCTATCTAGCTCCCTTATTTCTTCTGTTTCCTTACCTATTGACTCTGGACACTACCTACTCCCTTCCCCACCAGCACAGCAGCAATAGAAGGTATAAAATTTGAAATTCATAACAGTTA